TACCCGTCAGGTAAACTTTATCAAAAAATGGAACAACGGCCCTATGAGATGTTTTTAATTACATAACTTTTATAACGAAAAATGAATCTTGCGCAAAATCTATACAAAAAGATACGATTGTCATTGCAATCTCGTGATGAGACGATTCTAGTATATCATGCAATCTTTTATATCGTGTGTCGCATTGGGAATCGACTTTATAAACACTGATCGTTAAAGATTTGATTTCCTTGAAGATGTATTATGGTAACTTAGAATGTTCCGAAGACAAGATAATAGTAATCCCTTTGTACACCCATGGTAATTAATTCTGTCCCTCGGAAATTTTCACAAAATAAAAAATGACCATCTTTCTATATTAATTGTCACAATCCATACACGATTAACGTTACGACTGAACCTTATCGTGCATGAGTAATGACAATTAATATAGAAAGGAGGTCACTTTTCATTTTGTGAAAATTTCCGAGGGACAGAATTAATTACCGTGGGTGTACATAATTTAAGTTCGTCGTATCTTGATAGGATTACTTATCAGAAACTTCGACAATTCATATATCAGAATGTGCGTTTTCGATAAAAATAAAAAAATAAAAAATAGGGATTCCTAAAATATAAAACTTTATATTAATTTTTATGAGCCTTCTACAATAAGCCATACTTAAGTTTTAAATCATAAGAAATTTACCAACCACAATCGAATGTGAGAAGAATAATCGACTGTGAGTGGTCAATTTCTTATGACTTAATACTTAAAACTTAGATAATGGCTTATTGTAGAAGGCCTATTATAATCTTATATCTCTCTTTACAAATATTATACTTTATTTATTTTCAAACAGTATATTTTAAAAAATAAGTAATGAAAAGGCTCAACATGTATAAAACAATACAAATAAGAAAAAGGGCACAGAGCCAAATATGTTTAACGTACGTATAATTTAAAAAAACAAACTATATACATATAAAATTTCCAGACGTTTCGACTCCGATCGGGTCATTTTCAATGTATAAAAGTAAAATTTAAATATAAATAAAAAAGTACAATAAATATAAACATTCTTCAATTAAATAATACAAATTACAAACAATCTTCATCCAAAATGCATAATTACAGTAAAAATGATGTTGTAAACTGATGTCGTAAGAATAAAAAAGATCCTAATAAAAATACAAAATAAAATTTAACGGAGTCCTAAAAATTATTTTAAAAGAATATGAATTTATTTACCTTGTCAAAATTAGTAGAAAAAGAATTAAAATATCCATGAATAAAATTCTTCTATGTCACAATACAAATGAGAATCAAAATTGAATAAGATACTCTGCAGCTATGAGAAAAGCTAAATTCATATTCTTTTAAAATAATTTTTAGGACTCCGTTAAGTTTTATTTTGTATTTTTATTAGGATCTTTTTTATTCTTATGACATTAGTTTACAACATCATTTTTACCATAATTATGCAGTTTGGATGAAGATTGTTTGTAATTTTTGTATTATTTAATTGAAGAATGTTTATATTTATTGTACTTTTTTATTTATATTTAAATTTTACTTTTATACATTGAAAATGACCCGATCGGAGTCGAAACGTCTGGAAATTTTATATGTATATAGTTTGTTTTTTTAAATTATACGTACGTTAAACATATTTGGCTCTGTGCCCTTTTTCTTATTTGTATTGTTAGTATATTTTTATTTTCTAATTCTAAACAACAAAAAACAAGGCTTTTTGTAAGAATAATTATTTTGCATACAATCATTGGCAGTAAAATATTTTGTTTTTTCTTTGTCACAATATGTTAAAATAATGAAAGTTGGCATGTATGTGTATGTACTAGACATGTCAATATCGAGCAAAAATATTGACTAAAAGAATATATTCAGATATTTCAAAACTATCTATATTTATTCCGAATGAGTAGACATTATATCGAATATATATCAACGAATAAATAAAAAAAAAAACGCTATTTTCTTTTAGAGCTAACAAATGAAAATATGTAATACTTGATATTTGATCATTTGATGGAGGAAACTAGGAAAGATCGACACTTCGTTTATTTATAGTCCCAATTCCTATTCCCTATTACAAATTACAAACGATGAATGAAATTCCTTCTTTTATGTCACTATGAAATGAATGTATTCAAAATTCCTGAAAGTATTCATAAAATTGGAGAGTGTGAATATGAATGGTAAATATAATAATCTAGTCAATATTTTATTCATAATTTTATATTCGATATTTTTATATCGAGCAGCAAAATATATCGAATAACGATAAACATCCCCAATGTATATACAAAATTAACGGATGTAGAAACTATATGAATAGTAACGCCTTCGATGTGTCGATCATGGTATATTCGTATTATGAAGTAAGAGTATGGAGAAATCTCCTTACAGTTAAGTAACTGTGTAGACTGAAGGTGGTCACGAAAAATGTTCCGTAGAGACCCTATGCCAGAGTCTGGACACGAGCGCGATTGTGGCAAAATGCTACGAGAGAGAAAGATATATATACACTATCTTCGTCTATTAATTCTAACCTTAATGTAATGTATATATTTGTATATTCTCTTTCATTTAAGTTAACAGCGTAAAAAATATTAAATCATCGATGTCGATGTATTAAATATTAAAAATAATAACATTAAATAAATATTTATAGTAAAAATAGGTGGCTGCGCTGCTCCGTATTGTAATAATTCAGCTGTCAAAGGATATGCAATGAAAAGATTTCCTAAAAATCCTGAACGATGAGTTATATGGGTAAAAAATGTTAACCGAGAAGATTGCAGGTACCAACAAATAATTCACTTTTTTGTGAAGTTAGTTAATATTCGTTAAAAAAATAAAAATGTTCTAAAAGTTTATGTATACATTTCTATCCTATATGAATTTATAAGGTTATCGACGTTTGAATTAGAGCGGGAGTTGCCACAAACGACGGACCAATCAGAAATTGTCTCTCTCGTGTCCAGACTCTGGTATAGGGTTTCTCGTGTACTGCCATGTCCGCCGCCGAACCGAATAACTTGCAACATTTCATCGCCATATTGAATATTTATATGTGTGCAGTATACTTGCGACTGTGTACATGTATGTGTACACATATACATAATATATATCGAATCGGGATGACAGATATCTTAACCTGTAAAGTCTCGAACTTTAAAGCGGGGAGCACAGACTTTTGCATAACGCATAAAGCATGTGCATAAGGAATTTCATTGGTCCATTTTCTTATGCATGAGTCAGTGGACCAATCAAATTCTTTATGTATATGGTTTATGCGTTATGCAAAAGTCTGTGCTCCCCGCTTAACGCTTAATAACTCGGTTCACAAGGCCGATCCCCGCATTTTTCTTATAGATTCTTTCGTTCTGAGTGAAAACGCGACGTTTTTCTCTACACGGAACATTTTTCCCATATCCTAAAGCGGGGAGCACAGACTTTTGCATAACGCATAAAGAATTTGATTGGTCCATTGACTCATGCATAAGAAAATGGACCAATGAAATTCCTTATGCACATGCTTTATGCGTTATGCAAAAGTCTGTGCTCCCCGCTTTACTTCGTGATTCGTATATCATGGTATCGATGATGTCACCGACGCGTACGATCGCGTGATGTTTACTTGAGAATCTCTCGATATTTTGATCATTTTCATCGATATATTTTCATACCTTCAACAAACGCGATGTCTCTGACGTGCGAAATGATATCATTTTATCAATCGTGAAGAAGAGGCGAATTCGATTGCGGCGATATTTTCTCATTTAATTGGCACAATTCTGCAATATCCGAAATAACCTCAATCTCTCGACGCTCTCAAGCAGAACGCTGCCTCGCCGTGGCGCCACCGTCATTTCCATCGCTGTTGTCACATTTCTCTCCTGTCGTCCATAGCCCCTATCCACAGTCTCCTATGGGCTGCCGACAGTATCGTGTGAGAGATTTTTCGCCACTGATTTAACGTAAATATCACCTTTATTGGAGAACCCCTAGCAGATTCCGCCGCATGTTCCGCTGTGATCATTTGATTCGCGCTCGCACGCGCGGTTCGTCATCCGCTGTCACTTTTGCTGTTCGCTTTCGCCTCGTGCATATCCGTTTCCGCGATAACCAAAAAGTTCCGTCCTGCCTGTAGGTACGGTCTCTCGGTATGAGTCGCGTGATAAATCTGTGCTTTATCGTAATATCCTCACGATCATTTACCGATCTCACATTCGGTGGGAGATACTTGGAATCGTCGGTATTCCCCGCGGCCCGCGCCGTCCACGATAAATACTGTTGCTTGTGTAGCTGAGATGTATATATATATATATATATATATGTATTAATAAATAATTCACATCCCGTCTCTTTTTTACATTTTGTACTGTTTACGTTGGCGGTTCCATTCATAAACTTTGTTGATGCACGGTAGCTTCTGTATCTCGTCGCTCTCAATTGTCCCTAATAAATAATTTATTAATTGTCTATTATCACCAAATATCTTGTTTCTAATATTGTAAAGACTTGCTATATATTTGTTCTACATGATTACATAAATTGTAAATATGCGATATATGCACTGCATGAAGTATATATGTGTTTAATATTATAGAATTTCTATTTTTATCACATTATTTAATCTACTTTTATCAAATTGTTGTGTAATAAAATAATTTAGTTCATGAAGAATGTTACAGATTGGAAATGTAAATTCTAATCTTATTTGATTTTTTAAACATTTTCTATATATTTTTTAAATATGTAAGTTTTTTTTTATGTTTCTTTAATTAATGAAATACTAGTGGATTTAATTGGGATTTAATTAGGATTTAATTTTCTTCATATTTTTTCAAAATTTTTATTGCTCTTAAAATACATAAATATAAGAAATGTATATATTTTTTTTATTGCAGATGATTGCCTAAGTAAATAAAACAGCTCTAATTTTAGTTATACCTGCTTCCTAAGAAATCTAAGCACAATCAACGAAAGAAAGATGAAGGTTGTGGCATTGATTAGTGGTGGCAAAGATTCTTGCTTTAATATGATGCAATGTGTAGCAGCTGGCCATGAGATTGTAGCTCTAGCTAATTTGTTTCCTGTTGAAAAAGGTATTAAAACATAATGTATTATGTGGAGCATTTAATTATATATTGCTAATGGATACATAAATTTTAAAACTACATTTAATTTATATATTTATTTAATTTAACTTTTATATTGTAAATATAATTTAAAATTTATGCAGATGTAACATAGGGGTTAACACACTGCTTCCAGATGATCTGGATTCATTTATGTTCCAAACGGTAGGACATCAAGGTGTTAAGTACATTGCTCAAGCTATAGGCTTGCCTATATATCGTTATCCAACGTTTGGTAAAGCAAACGTGCAAGATAAATATTATTATCCTACGGATAGTGATGAAGTTGAAGATCTCTTTAAGCTTTTGAGTACAGTAAAGGTAAATTAACTTTTCTATCTCCTAAGTTATATACGTGTGACATTAATCTCTATATAAATATATTTTTATAATTATATATATTTTTTTAATACATATTTTTTCAGGAACGTGAAAATATAGAGGCTGTGTCAAGTGGTGCTATTTTTAGTGATTATCAACGAATTCGTGTAGAAAATGTGTAATTATTATTTATTTCTTCTATTTGAATCTGTAATATTATTAGTTGCCACTTATTAATTTTTTTCAAATATATTTTTCTTGTAGGTGTAATCGTTTAGGTCTTATTTCCTTGTCATATTTATGGAGACGGGACCAGGATGAGCTGTTAAATGAAATGATACAGAGTTCTGTTAACGCAATATTGATTAAAGTTGCAGCTTTAGGCCTTGAAATTAAACATTTAGGCAAATCTATATTTGAAATGCAACCTCATCTCATTAAGATAGTAAGTCAAATTGTTAATATTTTTATAATTATATCTATAGTGTACAGACTATCCCCTAATTATTGACAAAGCCTTTAAGTGCTTAAGACTGATTAAACTGATAATGAATTCGATTACTTGCATTACACTAGATTAAAGCCAGTGTTGGGCATCAATCAATTGAATCTTCAATCAATTAATCAATTGATTAAATACTTAATTGTAGTGTTTCAATTGCAAATAATTGATTAATTGCAGGACACAATTAAACGATCAATCGCATTTTACAATTAAAGTTAATTGCAACTAAAATTAATTGCAATTTGCAACTAAAGCACAATTAACATTGTACAATTAACATTTATAATCAGTTCATAATTTAAAGAAGTTAAATAATACTACAAATATGTATCTCACATCTCCACCAACTTCGACTCCTTCACCTCGCCCCTTCCCCTCCTACCATCCCTGTTTTTCGCCGTATTTCATTCTCTTTCGGTATATAATATTTTTTAATTATTTTTTCAATATTTTTTAAAATATTTTTTTATATGTCTATACTCTAAAAAGTAAGTGATCAGGAGGCGCGGTAGTACCTCCAGTCATGTTCAAAAAATTTATAAAACAAGTAGTGAGAAGGCTTGTCAAGTTTTTTTTTTCAAACTAATAATAAAGAGAGATAGGGTTTACGAGCAATGTTTTAATTTACGCGGGTGAAAATATGCGTTCTTATCATAATTTTTCCAGATTTAGTATTTTCAGATTATTAAAATTGTGTTTCAAGACCGACGAATGTTCGGCGCGCAAATTTGGGGGGATTACGTATATTAGTTAATTATTAATAGGACATTGTTCTTACTTTGGGTAAATATTGCGAAGAATATTACTACGTCGATCCGCTATTAGAGGTCTATCGATATTCGCAAATTCTCGCAAGTGCTGAGATACGCGTATATCTCTTTATAAAGATATCTTCTATATATAGAATCTCAATTTAATAACTTACACAGGTGTCTAAGGTAGGCTTCCACTACAATGCCTTACTGATGAGTCCAGTAGTGGAACTACTCCGGGACGAAACGCCAAAAAATAACGTAATATTCTTCGCAATATATTAGAATAAAATTAAATGTTTTAATGAATTTGTTTGCTCGTGAACCCTTTCTCTCTTTATTATTAGTTTGGAAAAAAAAATTTACAAAAGATAACAAGTCTCTTATCCCGAGCCACTAAAGTCCATTTTTGGGGGTGCATAACTACTAAAATATTATGCATGCAAAAGTCTCATTTTAGAATATTATTTTATATCTACTTATCAGTACTTGTCAATTGCTCTAGCAGTATTTATAAACGTATTAATTTTTATTTTATTAATGTAATTATTAATTTGAAAATATGTTTACATAATTTAGAAAAAAGTAACAATGATTCATACAATACCTCTTTTTTCTCATTATCAGATGAAATACCGAATGAAGCCAGCGTACTTGAGCTATGTTCCAAATCTATAGTTTACGTTACATGCACTATACATAGATTTTCAATATTCAGAATATTAACAGAACAATTTGCAATACATACTATAAAGATCAATTGTTAATTGTATCCACAATTAATTGTAATCATACAAACCTACAATTACAATTAACTTATTTAATTGTCAATTGCAATTAAAAATGTAATTTTAATTGTTAATTATTAATTGTCAAAACAATTTAATTGTGCCCAACACTGATTAAAGCATATTAAAAGTTGCTATATATGGAATAAGCAACATTAAATGTAAGAACATAAATATTTTAAATGTCTATATGATAATGATCATATTATATAGTAGAATATAAATGTATGTATTATTTCATTAACAAATTTGTTCATATATATATATATATATATATATATATATATATGCCATTGTATTTAGATACTTTACATAAAGCAGCTTGTAATATGTATTAATACAATGTAGTGAATAATATAATAATAACCGAATTCATCATAAATCACAAAGTTCTATATTATTTTACAATTTTTGCAATATTTAATCAAACAATATTTTCTAAAGATTGCCAAATGAGTATAAAATACCAGCGTGTGGCGAGATAGCACTACCTAATGCAGGAAGACGTCTTTTGCCGTTCGTGTTTTATCAATATCAAAAATTAACTTGGAAAGAAAAAGGGCACTAGGAGTTAGGCGCAGATAACTTTACGCAAACGTTGATATTTATCAAGCAAAACTTATTTATTACAAAACTTATTCTTACATGTTTCGGCTCATTTTTTAGCCTTCTTCAGAGACAATGGAAAGTTACATAAATAAAATATAATTTAAAATTGACAAAAAGATTAAAAGATGTTTAAACACAGCAAGCTCCCCCACAACCGAGAAATAAAATCAGATGAAAATTTCATCTTAAAGAAACAATAATATGCACGATAAAGGTATAAAAGGAAAATTAATAAATATAATGCTGAAATTTAGGGAAATAATTTCCCGAAACATGTAAGAATAAGTTTTGTAATAAATATGTTTTGCTTGATAAATATCAGCGTTTGCGTAAAGTTATCTGCGCTTAACTCCTAGTGCCCTTTTTCTTTCCAAGTTAATTTTTAATTGTATGGGAGTTTTTGTTACCAAAGAATTATTATTTAATTTATTAATATCACTTATAGTAAACAACTCTGCGCACTTGCCAATGTACGAGGTTGGGTAGTATCTCGTCGCGCTCTTGTATTTGGCGGTAAACCGAGTGGATATGTAATCTTTATTAATTTATTGTTAACTTAAAAAATTGCAAAATGATACAGGACTTTTTGATTTATCTTAGTCCTTTCTACCTGCATATGACCGCTTTATTAATAATTAGTTTTTCGAGATACTCTGTGTATTTTGATTATGGATATAATGAGACGAAACTGAAAATATAACTTTATTTTTTATTATCTATATTTTTACAGATTATAATCGATAAATTTTATTTACAGAAAGAAAAATATGGAGTGAATATATGTGGTGAGGGAGGAGAATATGAAACTTTTACCTTAGATTGCCCTTTGTTTGCTAAAAGTATTGTAATGTAAGTATTATATATTTATATTTATGTATTATGTACTTCTGTATAACTATACTTCATTTTTTTAGCGATGAGTATGAGAGCATTGTAAATTCAAGGGATGATGTAGCACCTGTAGGATACCTCGGATTTACAAAAATCCATTTAGAAGATAAGGACGTAAGTTTTTGGTTTATTATCACGTTAATAATTGTAAGATACTGTCAAGTGTCATCAAAATGAAGACTTATTTTTTAGAATGGAGAATTGGAGAAGTTAAGTCTATCTGAGAGACTAAAAAATGTTTTGATAAAGTCGCCACAGGATTACATTGCTGAAATCATTGGTCCTGAGCTACATGATGGCTGTAATTTATCAGAAGATGAAAATGACGAGCATGCATGTGAAAGTAATAGTTTGAAGGCATCAAACTCAGGTAGAAAACTATGGAAAAAACTGTGTTTACTACCTGGAATCTTTAGATTTTTTCACTTTTAAAAATCACGGATTTTTTTGAAATTTTATTAGATTGTCAGAGAAATTTTGAGAAATTTACTTTTAAATTTAAATTCTATTTTTAAAAAACATTTTTTTGATAATGTTAAGAATCAGCAATAAATATAGCATATACATCCCGTGTATATTTATGTACGTTTTTGTATGTTTCATGAGTTTTTATTAAAAAATCAAGGTGACACATTGTAGAAGATAATACTCAGCAAAATATAATAATTCATTGATATTACATTGTAGTATATGCCTTGTTTATAATATTCTATAGGTTTCACAGCTCCATAATTGTAGAAACTGATAGATATAGTCAAAGCTGTTGGAATTCCTGTCTTTTGCTAATTTTTAATACTTTAATATATACTTTATTTGTATTGCTTGTTTTATAATTTGATTTCTTTATTTCAAAGTTTCATTAAAAAATTCTCTAATTTCTTATCTGGAATTTTGAGAAAAACAATCTGGAAAATATCCAGAAATTTTCAAAGAATTTTTTTTACAAGATTTCAACAAACATCATAAAAAACAGAAAAATGTATATAAAATATATCAAAATGTATCTGTGAATACACAGGTCAGTTTCATCCTCCGAGTCCAATGGAAATTTTGTATGAAGAGGAAGATTGCCCAGATGCTCCGGTTGTTAACAGAAATCAAACAGGATGGTTCTGGTTTGGGGGTATTATAGGGAAACATCCGGACGTAACACCTGCTATAGAAGAGGCACTGGAAAAACTAAGCAGTAAAATTCACATCTTAATCGCATACTTTTCGGCTTAGTAATTATTCAAATTAACAATTATTTCTTATGCGAAATTTAATTAACATAAAAAATCGTTAATAAATCTTTTTTACATATAATATTTATCTAATTGTAGCTTTGATACAAAATGAAAATTTGTGCCCATCTGACATAGTCGCGATAACGTTGTACATAAAAGATATGTCGAATTACAAGGCTATAAATGAAGTATACGTCTCCTGGTTGGGTAAGAGAAATCCGCCAGTTCGTGTATGTGTGCAATGTCCTTTGAATGTACATGTCGCACTTGATGCAACAGCGTATAAGGAGAATCAAGAGAGTGGCGATAAATGGACCTATAAACGCCACACGCTATATGTTCAAAGTATAAGCCACTGGGCACCTGCCAATATTGGCCCTTACTCTCAGGCTGTTCGTGTAAGTACAATTTCCAGATTCGGACTTTGTGTTGCAATATCTCCACTCATAGGATATGTAGAGAAAAAAATAAAACACTTATGTAATTTAAACCCCAGCTATCAATAGAATATTCAGAATTTGATCGAATCATCCGTTATTGAAATCCGATAATCTTGTGATTCTGTCGTTCGCGTATAATAGGTCAGTTTCATGAGTGGGAGTCATAAACATATAAAAAAATTAATAAAACGTTTATTTGACACCTGAGGTTACCGTATCTTTCGATTAATATGATAAATATATTTTTATAAGATACTAGCATACAGCGCACGCCTTTTATGTCTCATCATTTATTTTATAAATCATCAGCTTTCATGTCTCATCATTTATCTTATAAATCATCAGTTGACCAATCACGTAGAAAAGAGTCAACAATATCTTCGATATAATTCGATCTCCATACATTTCGTGGTACATATGGATTTTTTTTATTAGAGAAAGATTGACTATTTTTTTATTAAGTATATATTTTTAAGGAAATTGATTTTAAAGTATTAAATCCTTGTTAGTCTTATTATAGAATTTTTTTGTAATTTTTCTTTTAAAAAATTTAAGATATCTGTTTTATAAAAATGTAATTTTCTGTACAGGTAGATGATGTTATTTTAGTTGCTGGGCAAATACCTTTGATACCTGGCAATATGAATCTTCTAGATATGAACATTAAACGACAGTGTCGTTTAACATTGAGGCACATAGACCGTATTGTTAAAGCTATGGATGCGAAACTTCGAGATATAGTACAAGGTATCTGTTTCCTGACTCATTCTAGTTATATAGAAGATGCGAGGAAGGAATGGGAAAGGAGGACGAGAAATGCTATTGTAGATTATGTTGTTGTACCAAATTTACCACGTGGTGCTCAAGTTGAGTGGTGTGTTTGGGCTCATAGGGATAATAACCGATTTGAATGTAAGTATTCAAAACTTATTTGGTAAGGAAGTATTTGCTGTAAGTTGAGTAGAAGAACTTATTTTTTCTTTATTTTTTGTTTTTTTTACAGTAACTTACATAAATATACAATATTTTTGTATTCTTTAATTCAAAAACTAGTGAGAGATGTATTGTTACATATATTGATACATCTTATTATTTATTACAGATGAGGAAACAGGAAAATGTGTGGCTAATTTTAGGATAGCCATAAGACGTAGGTGGAATTATGAAAATAATGTGTCGGCGATTGTATGTTACATGTCTACCGGTAAATTTTTCTTGATAAATTGCGTATCCATAATACATTTTTGAATTTTTTTTTTTTATAAACGTATTTTTTCTCTATTTTAAATATAAAAAATGCTAAAATTTATAATTAAAAAATAGTAAAAATCTCTTAAGAAATAAAATACTATAATATTTTGATAATGGTAGTATAATTGTAGTAAAGTAGGATATAATAATAAATCTGAATCTCAATTATTAATATCAGTTATTAATTGTTTATACTTAGACATCAGTTCGTGTGAATATTTAAAAATAGTTTTAACAAAGATTTTTTTAAGTTTGATATTTTTATGGACAGGTTCATCCAATTCTACTGGTAATTTGACAACGGAGGCGAGTTTGCCATCTATGGAGTTGAATGCAAATGAATTGTCAGAGGCTTTTGATTATCTATTGTGTAAACTCAGGAAAGGTTCACAAAGCGCAAATCCAACATGTAATTTGCGAATATTTTACAAAGTTGGCAGCTTTTTGGGCCCAAACTTTCTTCACAACGTCCTATCGAAGTTTTCTACACAGAATTTAGTGATTACCATTATACCAGCTACTCACTTACACAATTTCAGTACTTTGTTATCTATATATGGTATTAGGCACGAGTAAATACTCGAAATAATTTTTTACACTGTCAATTATTCATCGGAATTGGAGCGCACATTTTAGGATAAAAAAATTGATACTTCAAAAACAGCATGCAAGTAAGAGAGCTGTTTTGACACAAGAACAGGAAAAAAAATGCGTTTAAAGTCTTGCTTTACTTTATAGAATACTCATGCACAGAGTGCAATCATAATTTAACTGATCACGAATTACAATCGAAATTGTGTGAATCTCTTGTGTATTTTTTCAAAACAGCATTTTGCTTTATACGTCCTTTTACAGCTATTGCTTTAATTATTTCGGCCGTTATGAATCCAATACTACTCTAGAAGGATAAAGCGGCGTTGCAATCATTAAGTTCTCTATACGTGCGCAGATAATTCTCGATATTACTTTAGGCCTGTTCTTTTTGGCTGAACTTTTGCACCAGTTCATCATTTTTCCTTTTCTCTTGAAGAGAAAGGGAAGAAGGATGAACTAGTGCAAAAGTTCAGCCAAAAAGAACAGACCTTTTGCTTCACTGATGGTCTGATAGACGTATTAGAGCACTCGCGTTTCGTACGCGTTACATACGTGAGAGACACGGCTGTTGGTTCGAGATTTACTGACGATGTAGTTACACCGCTGTTTCTTCTAGCCGCATTTTTATATAGTTTTCTCACAAGTCTCATTTTCTTACAAATATTGAAGATATATCCCGTATCTTTTTGAATAAAAAATAGCAATAAAAGTGCAGTTAAGATGAAACAGACACTATATTATCTTGTATACCGAGTACCACTAGTCAATGACGGGTCAAGTGCAATTCTGAGCTATGAGCCCGTCCCCGTTTAGCGCATAAGTGCTCTTTAACAACGCGTGAGATTAGGTATAATAATACTCGTACGAATTGTACTGCTGATTACGTTATAATGTTTCGTTTCTTTTTTGCTCAAAGTATACGTTACTTTATGGCGTTGTAAATTATGTGCGGAATGTTAACGTGTGTGATGTTTCTCTAAACGACATTAAATTGTGCACAGCCATTTTAAACTAGCACTCGACATTTACTCGAATTCTAAATAAAAGGAAGAAAACTGAGATTGTTGTCGCGAGGAAGAAATTATAGGTCACCGCTAGGTGTCTTCAGTGCGATTTAATTTATGACTGGAACGTAGAACATATGTGTGTGTGTGTGTGTGTGTGTGTGTGCGTGTGCGCGCGCGCGTGTGCGAGTGTACGTATGTATGTATATACATATATAAATTCTTCACAATGATGTTCTTCGCTGTCACTAATGCTGCCGGTATCGTTAGATAATTGCATTACCAATTATTAATTGATTGTGTCACCGGAATCATGGGAAAATCATGACTAGAATGACATCGCAGTTGTAAAAAAATCGGGAAAAGAAGTTGGCATACTCAGTATAATATGCTATGCAGTAGTTTTGTATTTTTTGCGCGTACGCACTGTTTAGAAATATTTTGTACAGATTGCATTGCAATACTCTTAAGATTATTCTGACGTAATATTATATACGAGGTTGATGCAACGATATGCCAAAGTTTATATTTTGCAACCTGCTCATTTTTTAAACAGTCGCAATTACTATCGTTATTCTGTACGTGTACATAATGCAACATAATCTAATACTTATATAAATATAACTGATTTTTGACAGCGAAAAAGAAAGAGCGCACTGTTCAAAATGTGGATACTATGTAATAAGTATGTAAAAACACATGCAAAAGAAAAGATGTTCACATCTGAACGCAACAGAATACTAATCCGAGGATTATGTCGTAAAAGAAGAATAAAGAGAATGATATATATTTTTAAGAAATAGCTATTTTTTTAGTTTCACATTTTATTTCTTTCCCTTCTGTTCTACATGTAGCGATCGACAGAAAAGAAAATATTTTACAAAATTTATTAGTAGTATACTGATATGGTTCTTTCTCTTCACGAATATCCGAATTGGTAATTTGGAAAAAAATGCAAGAGCATAGGTCAATATTGTATGTTTTTCGAAAACGAAGAGAAAAATACAATCTTCGTTAATGATTGTAATATCTTGAATAGGCAAAGATGATATCAATGACAAACAAATGATTTAATTTTTAGTATAATATATTTCTTTCAAAATTTTGAAGAAAAATTATATTAATATATATAATTTATTAAAAATAGATATATACACATACATTACTACTGATATACAGTGCCCGCTAAAAGTCCCGGACCACCTGAATAATTTCTGAATGGTTCGAGATATAGGATTGAAATTTACAGGGATACAACGAGATCATAAAATATCATTGAACCCCGTTTGAAAGCTTTTCAAACGAACCTTCACTCGATCCCACATGCCATTTAAGATTTTCAGGCCCCCTTCTCCCGGGGATATTATGGTGGATGTGTTTGGGGTTCAATGATAGATTTTATGATCCCGTTGTATCCCTGTAAATTTCAATTCTATATCTTGAACCATTTAGAAATTATTCAGGTGGTCCGGTTTTGGCGAGCACTGTATGTATTAATATACAATAAATAATATATATTTATATTAACTAAAATATATGCGTATATTATTTATTAATATATGTAACATATGTAGTAATATACATATATATCTATTTAAAAAATAAATTACATGTATTATCTATTCTTGATTGATGAAAAATGGTTTTTATTATTACGATTACATTAAACATAAAAGTTTAGATTTTTACATAAATAATTTTATCTATACAGAATATTTAGAAAATCACTTGCTTTCAATTTCACAATTCTCATATGAACATTAATGGTTTTTATTCTGCATTTATATTTTTATAAATGGTAAGCCGATGTAATTTTTGCAAATTAAGTTTGTGAAATGTAAACGTGTGATAACGCCTTATCTTTCGGTTTATATTAAATAAATTCTTTCTACTTCACAAAAGAATTTTTTTAATACTGTAAAAGAGTGTTATAAAATGCACGTTTAACCAAGCTTATGATAAACAATTGATTTCAAATTCGTCAAAGAATAGAGAATTTAATTAAGAGAAAATGCACGATTTTACACTTTTTCACTCTGTAACTCGTAATTTTGACATGTTTAAAACTAAACCCATTCAGTCTTTTTTTTTACTAAACAATTCACTGTTCTCGCGATAAACAATATGTTAAAAATTCATAATTAAAAGTTAAATGACTCATTCCGCAACTATGTACAATGTAACTCGTTTGTCATGAAGTACTCCAAAAGAAAATCTTACGCGCATTTGTCCACAAACGCACTTAATAAAAAACTTATTTACTTTAATATAATAATATAATATACACCACTGGCATTGGTATTATACAGCACGATATTTTTTTTTTCTTCTGCAATGTTACAATAATTATATTCACGTTTTGAGCACCTTCGACATTAAAGGCTTTACATGCTGGCTGGTCGACGGTGTACAAAAATCACATTGATAATTTTTCTTGTCAACCACTACTCCCTTGGTCTCCACGCATTCTGAAAAAATTATATATTGCTACATATACATACATTATTCTATGCGATATATAATATTTCTCGGCAATAGCTGTAGCCTTTAAGAACAGAGGTGTTTAAAAAGTTTTATATTGAGCAGATAATTCTTTTTTAAGATTCTTCACTTCTCGACCTAAAGCGAAAAATATCATTAAGAAATAAATAATGATGTTAATAAAGATGATAAAAAGCAAATATTCTTCTGAGTAAAAATAGATAATATGCTGAATTGAATTAAACACCTTTGCATTATGGCATCTACTGTACAATTTGTATTTCTTATTTGAGAGAACAAGATAAAAATGCAAATGTCCATATGTACGCACTAAATAGCAATTAATTTAAACATGGCTTTTAAAATAGTGATGATTAAACAAAATTCATTGGCGCGTGCAAATGCTCCTGTACTGCAACATGCAATGAACTTAGCACTTTGAGCGTCTACTGAAAGTTAAACTCTGTGGTCCATAATGTTTTTACAAATCAAGTATATGAAATTAAATTTTTAGAAGTACAATTTAACAAAAGAATGTACTGTATATGGATTCATGTAGTTAATATTATGTACTTATTAATTTCATTGACTAAAAGCAGTTTTCGATGGACCCGTGTAAAGTTTGCCATAATTTTTATTCGCATAAAATGAGACACAAGTTAACATACGAATATGTGTGCTCAACGCTCAAAATGTTAAACTAACTGAATCATATGAAAACTTTTGGTGTCAATACCTAAGTGCAGATACTTGTCACATGCGCTGCAATGCACTAGATTCGCTTCCAGGTCGAGCCTTTGGGCGGTATGACAGCGACTGCAGTGCGGGCAATAGCGACCCTTTCGCCACAGCCTTGTTATCGCATAAAGATCATGTGGTTAGTGAATTCAGGTAAGGGTATATTATGTATTATGATGGTGCTTGGTACATGGAGAAAGAGGGAAGGCAACACGTTAATACTAATACACTTTTTATCATATTTTTTTATAATTTTTTTTAACAAAACTGTTGGGAATAGAATTTTTGACTTACATAATAACTCGCTTATTTTTGACAATAGAAGAAAAAGTGTCAAACAAAAGTTGCTTGGTTTCGAGGGGGACACGTTTTAGTCACGTTGCTTTTTTTCTAAGTGGAGGCGCTAAAAAGATATAAAGGTCACCTCCACTTTTTTAAATGGAAATATGTAATTTTTTTCAGATAACGTGATTTCTCTAATTATATTGCATATAAAAGTATTAAGGTAGAGATACCAAAAAACCAATAATTTTCGAGATATTTTACACTTTATTTTGATACAAATTGACACAAAATGTTAAATACCTCGTAAACTGTTGACTTTTTGATTATAGTACCTTAATACTTTTGTGAACAGAATAATGAGATAAATCAAATGGTGTAAAGAAAACACATAGTTGCTTTAAAAAAAATATGTATACAAAATGGATAATTTTTTAAATATGCAACTATGTGTTTTTTTATACCACTTGATTTATCTCATTATTTTGTTCACAAAAGTATTAAGGTACGATAATCAAAAAGTCAACAGTTTACGAGTTATTTTGTGTCAATATGTATCAAAATGAAATGTAAAATATCTCGAAAACTATTGGTTTTTTGGTATCTCTACCTTAATACTTTTATATGCAAAATAATTAGAGAAATCACGATATCTAAAAAAAATTACATAATTCTATTTAAAAAAGTGGAGGTGACTTTCATATCTTTTTAGCGCCTCTACTTACAAGGGAACACAACCAAGTGTATCTCTCCGATTTAAATGAGCTTTTAAGTATATTGTTCTATGGACAAAAATAAGAGACACGTATTTTTTTATACGTGCTGAGTCGCATGTTAAGGGAGTGAAATCCTCTCTTGAAAAAAAATCGGTTTTTTTCTTTCGAAGCGAATATCTTCGAAACTATAAGAGATAGAAAAAAATGTTTAGAATAAAAATTGAATGATTGTAAGAGTACTTTATAAGCATAATGGAACAAATTTTTTTTAAGTATTTATTTATTGTATACCCCCTCCTCCACTCTTATTTTCAAAAATTTTTTAATTTTTTATATGACGAAAATTAAAGAGAATTTTATGCTGAAAATAACGGTGTGCATTTAAATCACGTTCCGAAAAATTATTTTTCAGATATGAACGAAAACGTCTCTTTATACGCGCTCCATACGTATTCGTACCGCGTTGAGAGCACAGGATATCTACCGTTGAAGGGCTAGTTGTGTAATAAAGAACGTTTAATTTAAAACATGAAGATAAAAATAATTACAAACGTTTCGACACCGATCGAGTCTTAATTTTATAGTAAATACATTATTATAAAATAATTAGAAATCTACAATATTGCTTTATAGTGGTATTATCGTTTTCTTCCCATTATCAAAATGTTGCAAGTCAACAAATTAAAATAGTAAGATTGGGTCATTGAAAAATTCATAGTATTAATGCAGTAAATTAAATTTATTGTTTTCAATGTTAGTATTACATAAAATAAGAATAAAAAAATATGTAAAGTACAAAATATTAAAAATATATTAGAGTGCCTAACGTTTCGGAACTCACAGGTCCTTTTTCAGGGATTCTTGAAGATGTTACAAAATCATGGATATGAATAATACGATGTAAGCGACATAGTGTAGTATAATTGTTTCGAAGAATTTATTCGCCTGTTTTTATGTAAATTATGTCTAAAAAGTGAGAAATTCATTGTCGTCAATATGAAATAAAAGTAGTCAAGAGGTAAAAACAGGACAAGCGATTTAAATAAAAAAATATATAATTTAAAAAAATGTACTTTATTAAATAAAATGTTGAGAGTTAATAAATAAATAACGCAAAAAAGTCGTGGTAATACACAGAAAACTTATAATAAGTAAAGAAAATATAATTCAAATGTGATATAGAAGTTATAAATATAAGAATAATTGTATAATGTAATTAATATAAAAACGTAAGGAAGGTTATTAAAATAATTTTAATCATCTTTTTTTAAATATTTTAAATAAAATATTTTCTTATTTTTTTATTTAAATCGCTTATCCTGTTTTTACCTCTTGACTACTTTTATTTCATATTGACGACAATGAATTTCTCACTTTTTAGACACAATTTACATAAAAACAGGCGAATAAATTCTTCGGAACAATTATACCACACTATGTCGCTTACATCGTAAGATTATTCATCTCTATGATTTTGTAACATCTTTAAGAATCCCTGAAGAAGGACTTGTGAGTTCCGAAACATTAGGTACTCTAATATATTTTTAGTATTTTGTACTTTATATAATTTTTATTTTTATTTTATGTAATACTAACATTGAAAACTATAAATTTAATTTATATAAAAAAAACCTTATTACCGCCCGATTTGCACCGATGTTTCTTTATACTTTGTATTGCAAAAAAACGAGCGAAATCTAATTATTTTTATTTTTTTGCGTAATCGCATTAATTTTTCTTTGTTAACGGTCGCTTTTTACAATTAGATTATTACTGCATTACTACCATGAATTTTTCAATGACCAATCTTATTATTTTAATTTGTTGACTTGCAACATTTTGATAATGGGAAGAAAACGATAATACCACTATAAAGCAATATTGTAGATTTCTAATTATTTTATAATAATGTATTTACTATAAAATTAAGACTCGATCGGTGTCGAAACGTTTGTAATTATTTTTATCTGCATGTTTTAAATTAAACATTCTTTATTACACAACTAGCCTTCAACGGTAGATATCCTGTGCCCTCAACGCGGTACGAATACGTATGGAGCGCGTATAAAGAGACGTTTTCGTTCATATCTGAAAAATGATTTTTTGGAACGTGATTTAAATACACACCGTTATTTTCAGCATAAAATTCTCTTTAATTTTCGTCATATAAAAAATTAAAAAATTTTTGAAAATAAAAGTGGAGGAGGAGGTATACAATAAATAAATACTTAAAAAAATTTGTTCCATTATACTTATAAAGTACTCTTGCAATCATTCAATTTTTATTTTAAACATTTTTTTCTATCTCTTATAGTTTCGAAGATATTCGCTTTGAAAGAAAAAAACCGATTTTTTTTTCAAGGGATTTCACCCCCTTAACATGCGACTCAGCACGTATAAAAAAATACGTGTCTCTTATTTTTGTCCATAGAACAACATACTAAAAGCTCATTTAAATCAAAGAGATACACTTGGTTGTGTTCCCTTGTTAGAAAAAAAACAACGTGACTAAAACGTGTTCCCCTCGAAACCAAGCAACTTTTGTTTGACACTTTTTCTTCTATTGTCAAAAACAAGCGAGTTATTCAGGTGACCTGTTTTAAATGCCCCTCCCTGTATATATACCGGGTGGGGCAATAACTTTGTCCACCTTGAATATCTCCGCTATTTTTAGAGATATGAAAATATTGTTATTACAAAAGTTGTAGGGCATCAAGAGAACTATAACATATGCTAGTCATAATTTTTTTAGGTGGAGGCGCTTCGGAGATTTCAAGGTCAACTTCATTTTTTTAAATGGAATTATATGAATTTTTTTTCACTATATGATTCCCCTAATTATTCTGTACATAAAAGTATTAAGGTGGAGATATAAAAAAACCAATAGTTCACGAGTTATTAAACATTTTTTGTCAATATGCACCAAAAAAATGTGTAAAATATCTCGTAAACTATTGGTTTTTTTATATCTCCACCTTAATACTTTTATGTACAGAATAATTAGGGGAATCATATAGTGAAAAAATTCATATAATTCCATTTAAAAAAATGAAGTTGACCTTGAAATCTCCGAAGCGCCTCCACCTAAAAAAATTATGACTAGCATATGTTATAGTTCTCTTGATGCCCTACAACTTTTGTAATAACAATATTTTTATATCTCTAAAAATAGCGGAGATATTCAAAGTGGACAAAGTTATTGCCCTACCCGGTATATACTTTTTAATTAATTTCAGTCAATTCTCTCTAATTTATATAACTATAATTTGATTTTAAAAGAATTTTCACTGAGACTGTAAAGAGGTAACTTATCTCAAAATATTTAGAACATCAAAATTGTATTATAAAATTCAAACAAATTTTGAAAACAAAAAATTATTTTATTAATAAAAAACGATCTATTTGCAAAGTATATCTTTTACTGAACATCCTACATAGATATGTATGATAATAAAAAGAGAAGATGTCGAAAGTGTTATGATATGAGCAATGGAGATTATCAAGCAATTAAAGCCCAGCGTTTTTTGAAAAATTAACAGTTGATTATATACTTACTTCGAACATGGTACACAGAGTGTTGAGACATATATTCGAGTATTTTTTTCGCCCTTTTTATATTCGTGTTGCCATTGCGCAACGCTATTGCGGTCTGAATTAGCACCGCCGGCCTCTCTCGAACCGCAATTCGCGCATACAGCACATTCCTGACAATGCCATCTTCCCTGTGGTACTCGTCGCAAACCAACACAATAGATATGATATCTAAACAGTTCAAATTATACTAAATAAGCATTCTGAATAATATCATAGTTAATTTGCAGCTCTATGTCGCAAATATTTCTAGAAATCATAATTCATATTTTTTTTTATGTGTAGCAACTTTCTTTTTCTTTTTAACAGCAGATATTAAAAAGCAGATATTAAAGCATCGATTGTCGAGGTTCTGAATTGTAATTACAGAACTTTTATGTGATATGTAGCATATATTCGGTTTTTTTTTCGAAAAACTTACCCACGATCGCACATATCACAGAAGAGCATTTTGTCTTCGTCTGCAGGATCGTGACATTGTACACATGTCTTACAATCAGTACATTGCCATGCATATGACTGAATGTGTGGTACCATATCTAATGTTACATCTATACAGGATGGATGAACTGAAAATGATAATGACCTCGGTTAGCTCCATAAAAAGTTACATGCAATCTAATTCATAATATTATATTTACCATTTCCATTGCAAGTACCACATTGAATTAATATTTCGTTCTTGTTATGTTTATTTGAAACTTTTAGGCACATCTTGCATTTTAACTTTGCGTCATCCTTTGAGTTCGAGATTTCCATGTCCACTTCGTCCATGGTCGATTGAGATCCTTCTGTATCTTGTGTACCTTCGCTGGAGGATGAACTGTTCAAATACAATCATTATCATATCATTTTTATAATTTATATTATTATATATATGTAAATATATTGATTTATTATAAATCAAACGTATAATATTGATTATAATACATAAAACTACAAAATTAGATTAAATTCTGAATTGCTGAAACATGTGTTTGCAAGTTTTGGCATCTTATTTCGAAATCATTCTATGTATATAATCATTTATTCTAACTCTTAAAAATAAATCATATAATATTTTATAACATTGTTACCAACCTTGAATCATCGGAAGATGATTCGCTATCACTATCACTCTGAGAACCTTCTGATTGACTATCACTTTTACGTTCATTAGGCCGTGTAGGTCCATATAAGACCGTATTTAGTGGATAATACCTCAACTCTGCTGGTGTATATTCTCGATAATAATCAGTATATTGTCCTGGTATCAGAGCAACAGGATAATGACCAACTTTGTGTTCCAAATCGGTTTTGTGTTGCTTCTGTGGTTGATGAATTGTGAAAGTCTGCAAATCCAAACAGTATTTGCGTTGTTCTTTGCGAGCTTTATTCAAATTAGCGTTCCATGTAAATGCGGACTGTATTGCCATTTCTGCGAGATCTATCCTGTTTCTCTCCGCATTCGCTGCCGCCGTCAGTTCCTTCTGTTTCTTGGAATGTTCCTTGACTTGTTTTTCGCGCATATGTTTGCGATATTCTTCGTACTGATCAGGGAAATCACTGCACATTACGTCTAGTACTTCGGAGCTACATATCGCAGTTAATCCTGTGTAATGTGATAGCAATATAATTACGGTAACAAAAATAAATAGGATAACGGTAACAAAATTTACAGTTACTTTGCATACGATTGGACACGTTATATAACAATTACATGTTATTAATTACGACAGCTATAAATGTGGTTGTAGGAGATTGAGTGTTTTTATTTAGTATAGACGTACAAGCTACATTTAGTTTAACTTAATCTAAACATTGTACACATTTTGTTCTAATTGAGCTGTGTATAAAGCTTTATTCTGTACATTTCTGTTGAGCAATTGGAAAACATCCCTTTTTGTTAAAAACTTCTGTTATACATTTTAATTATAGCATTATAATTTTCTTTCTATCAAAATATTTGATTTACAGCTAAAAGTATAGATTAAGTAAAAATATAGCTGTATTATAATAAAGAGATTATATGTATTTCTTAATTTTCCTTTTAACTTCTAACTCATATTGTAATTCAAATAGTCTTATACAATCCTATATAATCTTTTAGTTTTCTACAAAGTATAAAAAAATTCCTAAAATATTTTAGCTGTCAACTGCTGTAGCGATCCTGAAGTGATTTTTGACAGTTGAGAAATACATACAGTACCATTATTTCAGGAATTATTTTGCACTTCTGTCTTCTATGTAATATGGGTGATTCAAAATTACCGCACTCGGAGTACAAGACGTAATACTTTACGCTAAGACAAACAACTTTTTCCTTTAACAAAATTGCGCCCGACAAATAGTTTTTGCAGTAGAGCATGTTAAATTTAACGAATAAGCGTTGTTGTCTACATGGCGCTCAGGGCCGGCGCGCGCTCCTCACTCGCGTGTACATACCTCGGCTATTATTCGAAAATAACATTTGAAGATTCAAATATGGCTCTATTATAAATTACTTTATGACATCTTAATACAGTCTTAAATAATACATAATAATAATAATAATAATAATAATTGCTTTCGTCACTCACGTAATAAATGATTAAAATGATTGTCTCTGATGCCGTCGCACCATTTAAAAATGTAGATACAATTGAATACAATACGTTTTGCGAGATGAGAGTTCTAATTCTAAATATCACACAATTGCGTATGATAAATATCATTAAACTTAAAGAATAACTTACTGATTATGTGAATACATAACTCTCAAATGTTGATTAACTTATCTATTTTGAACAGTGATTAAAAATAAAGTAAAATATTCGAGACAAGGTACATTAAGCGTTAATTCTTTCTTTATCCTTTACGATAAAAAATACGAGTAAAGAAAGAATACGAGAATATAAGTTAATTGTGCCGCCGGCATTAGCATGATTCAAGGACACCACGAGGAGATTGCACGATCCGACTTGTACCTCGTATGTGTAATAATATTTGAATGTAGCTGTGGATATTCAAAATGTACCGCTAAATGTATTATTGAATGTATTATTGTATTATTAAATTGTATTATTAAAACTAACACATGTAAATAAATATAATTTTTGATAGATTTTTTTATCGTATTCTTTATCGTAAAGGATAAAGAAAGAATTAACGCTTAATATACCTTAAGTCGAATATTTTACTTTATTTTTAATCACTGTTCAAAATAGATCAGTTTGTCAACATTTAAGAGAATTATGTATTCGCATAATCAGTAAGTTATTCTTTAAGTTTAATGATTTTTATTATACCATACGCAATTGTGTGATATTTAGAATTAGAACTTTCATCTCGCAAAACGTATTGTATTCAATTGTATCTACATTTTTAAATGGTGCGACGGCATCAGAGACAATCATTTTAATCATTTATTACGTGAGTGACGAAAGCAATTATTATTATTATTATTATTATTATGTATTATTTAAGACTGTATTAAGATGTCATAAAGTAATTTATAATAGAGCCATATTTGAATCTTCAAATGTTATTTTTAAATAATAGCCGAGATATGTACACGCGAGTGAGGAGCGCGCGCCGGCCCTGAGCGCCATGTAGACAACAACGCTTATTCGTTAAATTTAACATGCTCTACTGCAAAAACTATTTGTCGGACGCAATTTTGTTAAAGGAAAAAATTGTTTGTTTTAGCGTAAAGTATTACGTTGTGTACTCCGAGTGCGGGAATTTTGAATCACCCTGTATATAATCGGACATATGTATATATCTCAGTTTGCTGCATACTTTACAGGTTTTAGAATTACGAAATTGTATTAAAGAAAAAATTAAAAAATAAAACTATAAATAGTGTCTCAGTGTTATATATATATACTGCTTTCATCAATGTTTAAACAAAAAATACTGCAAAAGTACATTTTCAGACTGATTTTTAAAAAATAACGGAAAAGTAACGAAAAGTTGCCTTAACGGTAACTGTAATGAGTTACCTTTAAAAAGCGATAACTAGTAACGCGGTAACTCGTTACTTTTTTACTCGGTAACGAGTAACTTAACTTGTTACTTTTAAAAAGTAACTTATCATTCCCTGAATATAACATACTAATATTATAAGCGGCTAAGTATATTGTTTTAGTTTTAAGCAGTTCGATGTATTTAAAAAAAATTTTATTACATATTTAACCCTTAGCGGCCACACCTCAACCCGGCCATATCGCGGCCACACCGGGGTACATACTCACCTCACGCTAAAAAAAATTAGTTGTACAAGATATATGGGTATTTTAAGATTTCTAATCGATTATTGATGATGTTTGTTGAAGTTCTTCAACATTTCTAATGATTTATATTTGTCAATTTATAGATGGCGCTCTAAAAACTGGTCATATATGTGAAAATTCGGCAAAAATGACTTTTTTCAGAAAAAAATTCATTACTCCGCCATTTTTCAATATTAAGGGCTAAAATTTTAGGATTGTACGCACAAGATACACCACTACAATAAAAAAATAACAGTATACGCCGATCTTTCAAAAAGTATATTTATTTTGCAAAATTACTGGAGGGAAAAATGAAAAAAATGACAAATCATAAAATGTCGATACTTGTATCAATTTCAAAGGTTTTAGACCTCTAATTTCGCTTTTCCTAAGCCTGGGGTACAAAGTCATCCCGTGTGGCCGTTAAGGGTTAATAGTATAACCGCTTTATTATTTTCATTTTATGATTTGACTCTAATCGTCCTTCATCGCTTAATTATAACATACTAACATAAATGTATATAATAGAAGAGAGAGGTATAGAAGCAAAATTGGCAGTTTCTCTAAAATTTTATTTATATTGCTTCTTTATTCCAACTTTTATTTAAAAAAATATATATGTAAAATAATCTATTGCATAAGAAAAAAAATTCTGGCATTTAAATTTAGATAGGGGAAAATGTCCTAAATCGGACCGTGTTCCAAATCGAACCTTTTTAATTTAAATAAATATGGTTAAGTAGATTTGCATGCTATATTTATAATGTAAAGTTCTTATAAGATACCGAACATGTGATAGCAGTTTGACAGTACTCTTTCATAACGTTCATAGAATAGATGCAAATATGTATTTTCGGCTATCATGCAAAAATTTTTTTAAAAAAGAAAATCATTGTAAATCATTATTTAAAAGATGTTAAAAATTTAAACATTAATTAACTTAAGATAATTAAAGAGTGTAGAATTCAAAAATATCAAGCGTTTTGTGATTACTTTTGCGATTTATTGTAAAATTTGTTCCAATCGTTCGAAAGATCCCGTGTCCAAATAGGACCTCTCTTTGAGGATGTTCAAAACGGACCCATAAAAAAACACTAAAAAGATGAATAAGTCAGCTAATTCATCGAAGAAAGAAGGTTTGCCACAACCTGGTTGTAGTACTGGTGATCGACCGACCAGATCTGGTCTAATGCCCATTTCCACCAATGCAGATTAATTTTAATCTTGGTTCAATTTGCTCTTCATCTTTTTCTAATTCTAAAAATTAGAAAAAGATTAACAGTAAGTTAAACCGAGATTAAAGTTAATCTGCATTGGTGGAAACAGGCATAAGAGGAACACTAAATCAATAAAATATCATATGTCAGACTCACAAGGGAAGTATCACAACTGTCCGCCTCCGATTTGATTCTCCATGAAATATGTTATTAAGCACGAAAATCTAAGAGACACGTATTTTTTTATACGTGCCCTAACTCATGTTTAAGGGGTGAAACACCCCTTTGAAAGAAAACGGTATTTTTCTTTCGAGGCGAATATCGTCGGAAGTATAAAAGATATAAAAAAATTTTTTAAACAAAAGTTGTACGGCTTCAAGAGTACTTTAAAAATACAAAGAAAAAAAATTAAAAAAATTTTTAAACAAAATTATTTAAACAAAAAAATTATTATAAAATTTTTTTTTCTTTGTATTTTTAAAGTACTCTTGAAGCCGTACAACTTTTGTTTCAAAACTTTTTTTATATCTTTTATACTTCCGATGATATTCGCCTCGAAAGAAAAATACCGGTTTTTTTCAAAGGGGTGTTTCACCCCTTAAACATGAGTTAGGGCACGTATAAAAAAATACGTGTCTCTTAGATTTTCGTGCTTAATAACATATTTCATGGAGAATCAAATCGGAGGCGGACAGTTGTAATACTTCCCTTGTCAGATTGATGGAATTTTTATGATTTTAATTCTAATAATATAAACTGTATTTTTTTATCTTTGAGTCTTAAATTGCTCGTTTTTACTCAATACTAACAAAAATTAATTAAAATATTTTAAAATTCTATCTAAAAGTCCATAAAAATAGGAGAGGTCCGATTTGAAACTTATAGTACCAAATCGGACCGGAAAATGCATTTTTACATTTTCATTATAGTTCGACACAGGTAACACATACGTCAAAATAGTCTAAATCAAAAATTAAGGAAATTAAATGATCTTTCGAACGGCACCATTAGTTTTATGATCGGACTTTATTTACGCCTTATAGAGAACAAAAACTGCAAATAGGTTCGATTTAGGACTACTCTCCCCTATAAATTATTTTTTCAACATTTTTATAAATGGATAGTATAAATTTTCCTTCTATACTACTTATTTATGATAAAATAATAAATTTGCATATACCATAAGAGATTTACATGAAAATCTTCAGAAAGACTAATAAAAATAAACTTACCCATATCGCACATTGCTTCACTGACTAATCCATTCTCCCTCAAATAGTTTCTTTCTTCCATATCAACTACTCTGCGTTTAAGATCAGGATATTTGCGCTTAAAAGATTTTACCCCAAGATACTGTGATATCTGTTCCTGTATCATAAATGTTTCACCCTTTCGATCTAGTGGCCATTCATATTCGGCTATTTTATCAACAGTGAAAGGTCCTTCATCGGGGTCAAAATTGATCTCCATTCGTCGGTTCTTCACTTTGACTTTTTCGGATTCCGTCGTAGCAGTGCTCAGGACACTACCTTGTGATTCTTCATTTATTATTGTTTCTGAAGCTGTAAAAAAATTAATTTCTATATAGATAAATGTAGCAATAGAATGAATATTATCACTTTTCATGTAAGTTTCTGTGGATTAACTGAATAAATGAAAAAAAATTTTATGTTTACATAATTTTTAACAGCTCTTTCTTATATGTTTTTCATATTTTAACATTATATTATCAAAAAATTATATTATCAATATTATATTGATAGATATAAATATAATAAAAGGTTCGTACTTTAATAAATTAGTGTATTTCTTATATTTTATCATATTTAATTTTTTTTTTAATATGACACATATATAGACATCCCAAAAATACTTTTTTATAAATATATATACTAACATACAAACACAATGCATATATATATACACATACACACATATATTTATATAGACGATATACGAATTAATATGAGCGTTTTTAATGCTGCTAAACACAACATAATTACAACACATATTGCAAATAAAAGAAATAATGTACACTGTCTCATATTTGAACACATTATTACAATTTCGTAGTATTTAGTTACTTGAGAGACAGCTTATGTCACAAGAAAAGATCTATTCTTAGCCAGCTTGAAGTTTGGATGTGTACCAATACATTCAACAAACTCAACTCTTCAATGACTAAAATAAAAACTTTTTTTCTAAAGATTTATTTTCTTAGAAGCGCAATTATGTATATATAATTATATTATTAATATAAAAATTATATTATTTTAATACAATTTAATTTACACATTACAAATAAATACTATTAACGAAGATATAATTGTAATATAGTTACATTTTTTAAATTAGATTTTTTTAAATTAAACACAAAAGACTAGTTACTTTTTAATATAAAGACTTTATACAAACAAAAAATATAAACAAGAAAAAGGAAAGAGATGAATAAAAATATAATCACATAAATGTTGATATAGAAATTTCATCTATATACATATATATACGAATAAAAAATATTAAATTATATTATTAAAATATACTAGCACACTCTCTATCTACAATATAAAATATGAAATTTAAGACAATGAAATAGTAATGTAAAACACTATATTAATTATGGTTGTTTATTATTATGGCTTTAAAAAATTTTGCATAATATTTATCATTATTATGATATCAATATATAGTATTATGTATTAATATTAATGTAAATACATACTTGGTGCTGGTATATTTCTAGCCGGTGTTTGAGACCTTGAGCCGGATTCGGCGCTCATTCTTGTTTCTTCATCGATTACTTGTACCGTCGACACTGTTTCACCTCTCATGGCTGTTGAATCTGTTTGCTTCTTCGACGTTGGCGTCAGCCAATTTGAATGTCCGGGAGGTACGGGTATTTCTTTAATCCCGTCTGACATCTTACCTTTATTTTCAGCATGTTGCTTCGTCGCTGACTTCTGCGTTTTCTCAGAGACGATTTCTAAGGTCGGTTTTTTAGGCTGTTCATCAACTTCCGAGATCAATGGGCCCTGACTCGTAGCCTTCTCTGCATCTTCTTGAACATCCGACAGTCTGGTAGGTTCTAGCGTCACGATCTCAGAGTTCGAGGCTTTACAATCCTTTTTCCCCGTTTCTTTGCGACTTGACGTGGAACTTATATTTTTACGATCTACAGCCGGTTGTTTCAGCGCCTTGTACAATTGTTCTGACGATTTTCGAAGTGACTCTTGTTGTTTCGTGACTACTGGTGTTTCGTCGATAGTGATGACAGCCATTGTCGATGCCTCTATAGCGGATAAATCTTGATCTACACGAGTCTTCTTTCCAACTGGAGGTTCCACGTTATCTAGTTTCCGTTTACCGCGACCTAGATATAACAAAGAAAATATTAATGTTCTTTGATAAAAAGAGGAATGATTGAGGTATTAAAATATAAATAAGAATGGAAATTAATTATGTTTGTTTTCTTCAGTTCATTTTTTCTATAAAAATTATTTGTTGACTGTATAATATCATTTTATTCTGTATCTTCTTATTCTTCTTATCCCTTTTTCATTTAAAACAAACTTTAATCAAATAAATCAAAAAGAAAAAATGTAAAATATGCAAAAGAGATTAACTTATAAATTAACTTTTCAAATGTAATTAAGAACATATTAACATGAATATCATCTTCAAAATTGAAATAATAATACATTTACAGTGGATCAAAAGACACGGTAGTGTTTCTGCGCTAACAGAACGCACATGCGTTGCGAATATGTATTATCAGCATAATTGAATCATTTCTTAATTAGAAGATTTTATTATACTTCAACTTTACAGTCAAGAAGGGGACTTGGTTTACATAAAGAAGTCTTAATCCATTCATAACCCATTCCATCACACATCTTTTCCTACCTATCTAAATTAGTCCTAGTAACATAATAATTAGACTAGTAACATAATATATAATTCCACAAATAAAATAATCTCTTCTTATCCTATTCTATAACTATAACTCTAACTATATTTTGTACTATTTTCGCAGCCATAATTTCCCTAAGTATCCAATATACATAAACTACCGTAGTACTATCACGAATTAAATTGATTAACAATTTAATAATTATTTGATGCTCTTTTGGCATCTTATATCGATCTTTAACGTTAAAATCTCAAAATAATAATTTTTATTGCGAAAAATATTACCTCGGCCGGAAGTTGAAATGTATCATAATATTTGCATTCAATTTTGTAAACTATATCAGTACGTGATATAAGTTTATCCTTAAGTACTCTAATAAATTTCCGTTAATTATTAATGCGTTTATATGGCAGGAATATTAATTAATGGCAGGAATTTTATTAAAAAATCTTTATTCTTTTCGGTATTTTGGATTAAAAAAGTATACACACTGTAATCTTGTGTCAGCTCATAAAAACATTTTTAATATTTATTAAAATTGAATTGAATTTTAATTAAGCCTAGAATTCTTATATTTATTTATCTTTTATTAGAATTCTTTAAGATAATTTATTCTGATTTTATTGTATCGCAGAATTAATTTAAAATAATTAATATGTCATCGCGTCAATGATAATTTATCTCATTTTTTATTTACAATCTTTAACTATTTCTAACATATTTCAAATGTAAACATTTGAATATTTTCGCGAATATTTTGCAGCATGTAGTTATTATTTTGTTTTTTACAACGTAAAGTATTCTATCAATTCCAACATTAAGTATTTACTTACATATTAATATTAATTATATAGTAAATACGTATTATACGTAGTAAATATTAATTATGAAAGAAACTAACCTCGTCCTCTTCCTCTTTTGGGCGGAGCGTAACTCTTCTGATTCCTGCAGGTTCTCTTAGGTCTCTCATTTTCTCTGTGTTCAAATTGTTGCGGAGGAACTTGCTGTACTTCGTCCAAGGCCAGGGGATCTCTAGGCATCAGAGTTTGCGCAGATTGCTGAACTTGTTGTGCTACAGGATTTCTTCGTGGTCTTCCTCTCTTCTTTGGCACCTTGATATCAGCTATTCTGTTAGGGGCTACTTCTTCTATAATGACAACATCTTGGCTGGAGTTCGAATTTTCGTTAACGATTATCAGTTCTGGACGATGCTCGATGATCTCACAATCCGACAATCCACCTGGTGAATTTTTGCATGTATCCTTGAACTTGTCTGATGCACTGTCTGGCCGCACTTGTGTGATACTGATCTCCTGGTTAATTACGTTCATTTGCTGTCGACTAATTAGACTCGTCTTTGGATCGAACAACAGTTGCTGCTGCTGTTGTTTCTGATCCCGACACAATACTGGTTGGATGGTGACCTCTGGTAAAATCTGTGAGAGTTGCGTCTCCAGTTTAGATTTTTTGCTCTCAACTGGCGAGATCGTTATGTCTTTACGCTTGGGCGATATTTCGATCTGCTGCTGGACGTTTTCTGCTGGTTGCTTTCTGCTTTGCACCTGCACTGGTTCGATCGTCAGTTCAGAACGATTGCTCTGCAGAATAGACGGATGGTGACTGCTGGTCTTAAGGATCTTCAATGTGGGTTCCTTATGCGCTGCAGCATGCTCCATATACCTATGAGAAAAATTCACTGCTGGATCCAGAGCTGCTGAATCCTTACTTTTGGGCGTGGAGGACTCTCCGTGATTGTCGCATGCTACGATAGTTGGATGGCCAGTTTTGGACAATTTAATCTTCATCTCTAGCGATGATTCGGCGTTGTCCCTACGTCTCTGTTGCTTGTCCTTTTTCTCGGTAGAACCGGAAGGAAGCGTCTCCACTACTGAAGCGTCGCCTGACTTAAATAGCTTAATCTTCATCCCGAGTGATGAGTCTCCACCTTTTGAATATTCCGTATCAAGTACACGAGTAATCTTACTTTGCTGTTCGTCAGTAATAGCTTCGTTCTGCACAATAGAAGCATCGCCGCTCTTGGATAGCTTGATTTTCATGCCAAGTGGAGATTCTGTTCTCTTTGGTGCTTCTGCTTGACTATCCCGTGATTTCAAATCTTCTGTCGATTCCATTTTATTAGAAATAATCGGCGTATCCCCAGATTTGGATACTTTAATTTTCGGAATGCCGCCTGTGGGTGATTCGGAAATTTGGAATACATTTTGCTCCTCGGTAACATCCAGTGATCCTGACGACGCTGCTTCGCTCGTCTTCACTTTGATCTTGATTCCAGAAGACTCGGACGTTTTCACAGTATCTTGCGATACCTCAGATTTATCTTTGTTTTTTATTTCTTTAACATCTTCTGTGACCTCGGAATGTATAATAGAGGCGTCTCCGGTTTTGGATAACTTTATCTTCATTCCGAGTGGTGACTCAGTACGTTTAGGTGGATCGGGTACCTCCAATTTATCTCTTATATCTTCAGTATTATCTACAGAAATAATAGATGCACTACCTTTGCACTTGGATAGTTTTATTTTCATTCCGATTGGAGACTCGGTTCTTTTCGGTAGTTCTGAATAGTCCTGCTTTTCCTTTATCTTCGTAGAGTCTTCAGGAATATCCGGAGATACGATAGAAGCATCGCCGGTCTTTGACAATTTAATTTTCATGCCAATTGGAGAATCGGTCCGCTTTTGTGTAATTTCCTTATGCTCCTCTAAAGATTCTTGCCTGTCGGTCTGAATGATAGAAGCGTCACCAGTTTTGGAGAGTTTGATTTTCATGCCAATCGGTGATTCTGTTCTCTTTGGACTTCCCTGCGGTATCTCCAACTTCTCTTTGTGCTTTGTAAGAGATTCTTTGATATCTAGTTGCCTAGAATCGGAGATAATCGATGCATCTCCAGACTTGGATAGCTTTATCTTCATACCAATCGGAGAATCCATTCTCTTTGACTCTTCAATTTTATATTTTGTTTCCTTTGAATCATCCAAACTTTCGTGTTTCTCTGTACCCACAATTGAAGCATCGCCGGATTTGGACAACTTGATCTTCATGCCGATAGGAGATAATGACGATGTGTTATCGGTGGTGTGCCACTGATTGACTTCGTCCAGATTCTCGTTAGATATTATAGAGGGGTGGCCTCCCTTAGATAGCTTCAATTTAATCTTTCCTAACTTCTGACCCGGACTGTCCTCTGGATTCGGCGAATTCGTAGCTGATCGAATCTTTGGACTCTTCGGCGATCGTGGTTCGCTGCAGTCCGTGATTGCAGATTTCGCAATCTTCAGGATTATTCTCGGCGAACCAACATTCTCGAAATCTGAATGCTTTTCGGAGTCTTTGCGCGGCGTGTCGGCGCTCTTCGATTCAATTTTATCAATCGATTTCGGTGATTCCAACATTTTCGGATATGTGATAGTTCTCGCGTCCTTCGGTATGAGAAGATTATCATTCGGACTAATGGAAGATTCCAACACTTTAGCCGAATCCAGAATGGGTATCTCGATTTTCGGTGGTTCCATCAGTCGTTCCTCCAATATTGACATTCCTGGGATCAACCCACTTTCCAGAAAACCTCCTGAGATCAACGATTCAATAGTTACAGTTTCTTTTCTTTCATGTGATTGTTTCACATGTGTGACTGTTTCCGTATTCAAGGAACCACCTGCGACAGAAGCCATATCAAACGACGTTTCCGAATATGTGCGAACCTTTGTCTCATTTATCTCTTCTTCGGCGTCCTTCACAATGATACTGGGAACGTTTCGCATCTGTGTTGCGAATTTCCGCTCATTCTCCAGCTTAGCAGCTTCCGATATAATCTCGGCTTCTGAGATGGAAATAGTATCCACATTATCTTTCAAATGTTCTAATTCGGACTCGGCGTTTGTGTAATTGACTATCTCATCGGACACGTAAAGCTCCGCGTTTGCCTGCTTCGTTATATCTTCGACGACGCTCTCTACCATTTTCGGTGACAGTACCAAAGAGTCTATCGTCTGCTCTTCGGATTCTTGTAAGAATTTTACCGCAGATTCCAATTCAGAGATTTCCGAACTCGACTGTGAATTTTCGATGACGGTAGGAGTGTCGGCATGTCGGGAAAGATTTTCACTTACGCCCTCCAACAGAATATCTTGCGACAATTCCAGCTTTGCTTCACTTATCCCCAAATCGACTGACTCTAGTCGGTTGCTCTCAAAATCCATGTCCAAATCGTTCTGTTGCAAATTGCTGTCCGTTCCAAGAGATTCTTCTATTATCTTCTCATTATCCGCTGTCTCACTTGCCATATTCATATCTTCGTTCATTTTTAAGTTACTATCCTCGTTTTCGGTAGTTTTATCGTTACTTGGTATATTGATATTAGCTTCGTTCATTTCATTACCTCTGTTTGTCAAACAACTAGCAATCACGTTTGTTATGTAGTCTGAACTTTGTGTCATGCTTGCTTCGCTTTGATTTGCTGGGTCTAATAAAAGATCTATATCAATATTTTTATTTACTATTTCTTCTGTTAGAACTTTATCTTTCGTTTTCATGTCCTTTGACGAAGAGTTTTCATTGTCCGACATAAGAGTTATATCCAAAAGTCCCTCTAAAGCGTCTATAGTTTGAGTATTAACTGGGATGTCTATATTTTCTGCATCTTGAGACAATTTCACTGTTAACTTTTCGACGCTCACGTTTTCGTTCGAGCTTTCATGTAATAAAGAGATATCAATTACCTTCGATTGTACCTCTTTTAAATTGGCATCAGTGGATTCTTCAACGACTGATTTAACATTCTCCTCGATTATCGGTGGTACATTAACATCAATCGATTCTTTCAATTCTATTTTTATAGGTTTTTCACATGGTTTTTTATCTTCATCATCTTGTAAATTGATATCTTTTTGATTTTTCCGGTTATATATTTCTGGAATTAACGATTCAGAAGCTAAATTTATTTTACGACTTTCCTCTTTCTCAATTTCTTTAATTTCCTCTTTGTTTAATTTTGATACTTTTATTGCTGTCTCATTTATCGATATCTCAGTAGTATTTTTCACGACTTTATCTTTTTTCCATATTTTATTGCACACGTAATCTCTTACATCATCTTCTGAAATAGTTAAATTTTTAATTAATGATGAGTTTTTATCATTCTCTAATGATACATAGTCAGATGTATCGTTTTCCAAAGTTAGCTTACTTTCCGTCTGCACAGATGAACTGTCTTCTGTTTGAACACATGATTCAAGTTGATGAAGTGTTTTCTCTGATTTATTTTTCATTGAAGTTTCATCATGATCTTTGGAGAGTGATATCACTTCAGATATCTTTTCTTCTACATACTTTATTTCTTCAACTTCAGATTTGCTTATATTTTCAGTTATGTTATTTGAATTGTCACACATGATTAGAGCAGAATGTAATTCCCCAAATTTACTAGACGCAGTATCATTAATATCAGTTTTTTCTGATATAGAAGGAAGCTGTTTAACAGATTTATCATGTTCAATCGGGGTTAATGTTTCAAGTGTTTGTCCAAGAATATCTTTTTGCGGGCAAATATTTGTTTCTTCAGAATCATTAACGTTAGTTTTATTATTTTGTATTGTTAAATTTTTAGAGCACGAATCTGAATTTCCTTCACTCAATAATAAATGACTATCTGCAGATTGTGTAGTGGCCATTACATTCTTTTTTTCAATATCTGGATGATTTGTTGATACATCTTCATTCGAATTTAATACTTTATTAGTTGTATCTGATGCAGTTTGAACTATATTTCTATTCGTTGGCACAGATGTTTCTTTAGCAGTAGCTGCATCCACATTATCTTGAGTATCAAAAGTTGTAGCAGTTTTTTCTTGTGTATCATCTGTTTCTTGAGAATCATTAATTTTAGTTTTTATCGAACTGTCTTTGTGTGTTGTCTGAGAGCCTTTATTAATGACATCTGCTTCCTGAGAATTATTATTTTTACTTGTCACTTCTATCATATGTAATTTCTTATCGGGCACTTCAGTTAAAGTAGGTTCTTGAGATTTAGTTGCAGATATGGAAACAACATCTCTATCTTTGCAATCAAGTACATCTTTCATACATTTCTTCGTATCATCAATAATACGACAATTATCATTTACTTTTTCTGTATTTGGCAGCTTTTTTTCACTAAAAGTTGTAGAATCATCTTGCTTTTCTGTTTCGGCAGCTGTTAATAGACTTGGTTCTATTTCAGTATTTTCTTTATTTTCATCTGAACTTTTAGTTAATTCCAATGTTGATACGTCAGATGTGTTAATAGATAAACCTATAATTTCTTTAGAGATTTCATAAGATTGATGTTCTAATACTGTTCCTTCAGTTGTATCCATTTCCATTTCAGTATTATTTTTACTTTGTATGTGACTCAATACATCATTATCAATACATTCTGTCATTTTATTTGATGCATCATCTATATTTTCTTGTATCTCTAAAACTTGCGATGTTTTACTATGATCAGAATCTTTAGACTCTGTCATTTTATTTGATGCATCATCTATATTTTCTTGTATCTCTAAACCTTGCAATGTTTTACTATGATCAGAATCTTTAGACTCTTTTATATTTGGATCTTCTATTTTACTGTCTACATTTTCTACTTTCGCATTTAATTCTTTTGAAATAGGCGCATTTGCAGTATTATTTAACTCTGAAGATATTTCAGTATTTTGCTCCAATACATCAGTTACTTCAGAATTGTCTTCCTCAAGCTGCTTTTCAGAAACATCTGGCAGTAAAGTTTCTTTAGAAACAGAAAATGATGTAGTCTCTTTTGGCAAATCACTCACATCCGTTTCCTCTGAATCTTCAGAGTTATATGCTTCTCCTATCAATTGTAAACTCTGACTAATGTTACTAATTATAGGCCTTATATTACTGTTGGTTTCATTTTGACTGTCAATTGTTTTATCAATGGTTTCGTCTTCCATCTTCTCAACAATACTTTTCTCAGTTGCAGTTTCCAGTAAAGTATCATCATTTGACATGCTAGTTGGGGAATTAATCTCAGTAAGTAACTTGTTATTGGAAGACAATTCTGATGTACAAACTGTAGATATATCACCAAGTGCTTTATCTGCAGACACAGCAATATATTGGTTAATATTTACGTCAGAAACTTGATCATGTTTAACTATAAAGTCAATATCTGTATTCTCTAAAGTACTTTGTTCTGTGATAATTAATGATTCTGTTTGTGTCTTACTTTCACAGACAAGATCAGACATCCCTTGTTGTATTTTCTGGATACTATCTGTACATTTTTCAGACACAATATTAGATTTGGTATTAGAAATATCAATATTATCAATGTTTGTGATACAAACAGTACTAGAAGTAGGACTCGGTATCATAAGAGAATCTTGTTGCGTTATTGGCTTTAAGTTCTCTAACTGTAAGATTGGCTCTACCTTTGATTCTGTAATAATCTGTGAAAGAGCAGCGATTTCGCTCTCCAAAGTCGAATCGCCGATCTGATCGCCGGACTGTACGCCGATGATATCGTTGATATCCATTATGCTCAGAGTTTCGGTATCGTATGTTTCAGTGTCACTGTCAACGCCATATGGTGCATAACGGGATGGGGAGTTGTCCTTGGAAGATTTCTCTTTTTGTTCCTGATTCCGGTCCTTAGAGCCGAATAGGCCCATCTTAGAACCGTCGGACATTGTTTCGATGTTCCGTGCAGGAGACGTCGTTAGACCTGCTGCTGCCGTCGCCGCCGTACATTTATGCGGACTTTTTTGTTCCAGTTTGTCATGAACAAATCTCCACGCGTACAAACCGGGTATGCCTCGTTACTGCAAGTGCACCGTGCGTTAAGGTTTCCGCAATATCGGCACGAATGACCAGTCTACTTACCGCTACATCGCTCTTCAATTTGTTTTCACTCAAGCAGTGAACATAACCAATGTTTCTCTACACTTGTGCGCGAATCGGTCCCGATGAATTACACGTGTTGCACAAATAGACCGTAACGCGTGAAGAGATATCGTGCCGCCTATTCGCTTATCTAACTTTCGGACAGCCGAGATCAATACGCAAGCATATACGCTTTACGGTTTTCAAAATATATTTTGCCAAATCGTAAAACATTTACTAAAATACTGACGCCAACTTATGTCGAAACACGACAGTGGCCTAAACAAATTCCCTAGTACTTTATGCCTTGCGCACATAGAAACTTGAGAGAGGACATGACAGTTCACACTAGGCGCGATTAGAGTCCCTATAAGAGAGTTGTGTCAATCTGAAGTAAAATGGCGTCTAATTGGGACTCTGGCAGAAAGGGACGCTCATATATGTAATACTAACATATATGGGGACGCTAGACCTTAAGCGGGGAGCACAGACTTTTGCATAACGCATAAAGCATGTGCATAAGGAATTTCATTGGTCCATTTTCTTATGCATGAGTCAATGAACCAATCAAATTCTTTATGTATATGGTTTATGCGTTAAGCAAAAGTCTGTGCTCCCCACCTTATACTACGAAGAGCGTAAAATCATGGTGGCAGGCGAGACGAAAGCTTGCTAATACGAACGGCAACGAGACCTCGGTTTAAGTCCCGGCACCGGTGGAGTCCAAATATTTTTCTCGACCCACTCTTACAATATCAAAATTATAAGTAAGTCTATACATTATTATAAAGCTTTCGAATTAAAAATATATAAAAGATACAGATATTATGTGGTCGAAAGTGACATTCTAACCTTGTTTACTTGTCAATATTATATAATTTAACGTAAATTCTACTCTTACAACTTCTAAAATCTAAACCACCGCGTTCACATTACTCAAAAGTGGGGATATAACAGCATCGATGATTGGTTCCGCCATTTTACTTCAAAGCCAATGAAAATTTATACAAGATTGACACAACTCTCTTATAGGGACTCTAGGCGCGATGAGCGATGCGCGACGAGCGATAACCAATAAGAACTCTTCTTTACATCGTCGTGTGAACTAAAGCAAAACTTTTATCGTTTATCGCTCGTCGTTCATCGCCCATCGCATCCAGGGCTACGTTCAGATTCCCCACCCGGGTGCACCCAGACACCCAGAAAGCGTTCAGATTCCTTTTGAGTGTCTTCACTGGGCACTTAAGGAGCCTACAGACCAGAGCGGCGCAGCGGTGAAGCGGCGAGCGATAGCCAATGAGGGCCATACTTTTGAGTAAAGAACTGACTCATGCATAAGAAAATGGACCAATGAAATTCCTTATGCACATGCTTTATGCGTTATGCAAAAGTCTGTGCTCCCCGCTTTAGGTGGAACGTTCAGGGCATCTACCCAGATAACAATTGGTGAGCGCTCATATTACTCTCACGGCATGATTGTCATGAGTTCGTGCAATAACGCACTCATGTTACTCTCACTAAGTGAGAGAAGCACGAGTGCGTGCGTAAAAGGTAGCATTATACAGTCATGCGTGAAGGAACATAATTTACATAAAATTCACGTTATCTTCACGCATGATCATCATACGTGCGTGCAAAAACGCATTCATGTTGCGTTCATGCATGCAGTAATAAAAATCGCGCGCTTTCCGCCATCTTATCATACGCCGAGCTGATTATCATTTAATTATTTTGTTAAAATAACAAAATACAATTTTTTTGTTAAATGTACAAAATATTGTAAATTTTTTTATTTAACGATACAAATTTATTTAAAACTAATATGAGAATAGGGCTACGAGCCTTAGATTCATTAAAATCTTTAATTCTATTAATTCTAATATAAACATACAAATTTATTTGCTTACTTTTTGTAAATAACAAGGTAAAATTTTGTTGCCATTACAAAATAAGTGTTCTTTTAGTAATTTTAACAAAATAATCTGTTTGGGTAGACAAAATAGTTTTATTAAAAGTATATATAGACCATTCGAAACATCTCTGTCAATAAGGTAACAGTGGAGCAGTACGTTAGGTGAACGACTCAGAACTGGACCGTGGATCGAGTCACGAGTTTAAATCCTATCAGGTTTAAAAGTTTTTTCCTAGGTATTATTAGTCAGTTCAGCACTTAAGGGGAGGACACAAATGATGGAGAAAGAAATCTAATTTTTTTTTCCGTGCGCGTCCGCATGCGTGAGAGCAATATGGTATTCAAATGAGGACACAACTGTCATACGCATGACATTCACGCGTGCGGATAATCTTGCACGCGTGAAGGGTGATTTTACATGCAGCGCGGAACGCGGTAGGCGATAAAGTAACTAGGAACCGCGCGCGGTAAGCCGCGCTAATTTTCTCCTATTATTACATGG